TGTAAATGGGCTGTCTGGGCGTTTGATGAACTTTGTTCTGAAGAAATAGAAGGTCTACCCGCCATTCTAGACCAACACTACTTGTCTCTCTGCATTTTATCTTTTTTCACCCGGTACATGTAAGTCAGAATGAACAACCGTGTTCTCATCAATGTGTCTTTTTTACCACATAGCATTGCCTTTATGAAGATTCATAGAAAAAGGTTTTTTTCTAGATCTCAGTACCAAGGAAAGCTTTGATCCTAAGTGCAGTATACATACATACATATATATATATACACACACACATATGTCTATATATGTGTGTAGATCTGTATGTATGTATTACAAACACTGTGATTTTTGTAACTTAAGCTGCTTTTTCTCTCTTTGTTCTGGCTGCTGGAAAGCTTAACAAAACTTACAGCCCACCTCAACCAACTGCCCCAAACTATATTTATTTAATTTTGTCTTATTTCTTTGGAAATTGTGTCAAATCCTGTTTTTGAAAAGCAGTATAAATTGACATTTTTTTCACTATCATCGAAGGCATTTTGGAAACTGGGCTTGTATGTCCTACCTAGGCTTGCTTTGTTACTGCCACAGATACCTCCAGTTCTTACCAGTGATGTTATGCATTCAACCTAATTCATTCATCTGGAAAAAAACAGTTTTTTAAAGAGGAAAACCTCACACATAAAAAGCTCAGGGCAGCCTACTTCGGTGGAATGAGCATGAGACCAGAGGCTGAAAGAGCCTTTTAGTCTTATCATTACTTAATGAGTGTTATTTGACACATCATAGCCTCTCTGGGCCTCTGCTCCTCATCTGAAGAGAAGTTGAGCTTGATTACTAAGTTGCTCCGGCTCTAATGTTTCATGAGGCTGGGGAGTGTGGTATAGATGCCAAAGAGGTTAAAGGCCAGGCTGCCGGCCCGGCTTGCCTGTGCTTGCCACATCTGGCCATGCCAAATCCATTTCATGCTTCAAGAAAGGGAAGGTATGCTGTGACAGCAAAGTCAGCCCAGGAGCTTGTTTGGGAAGGAGAAAGGGCAAGTCCTTCATGGTCCGCAGGCAGGCAGCACCCCAGGCACCTCAATAGCCAGTGGCAAGTAGTTGAAGTGAAGGGAAGCCTCTGTCGGAGGTCTGGAGCTCGATGACAGACAAGACTCACCTGTGAGGGAGCCGGGGCAGCCCCAGCTAAAGAAGTGTCTGAGTAACTTGTAAAACTGTAAGCCTCTGCCTCTGAATGCATTCCAAGACCCAGTGCAAATGGGTGTCGGTTTATTATTTTGTATCAGTGTTCACTTAGATGTCTTCTTGAAAAACTTGTTTGTGGAATAAATGTCTAAAATAAATGGCTCCCATTGGTTTCTGCCATAATTTGAAGGGCGTCTTCTATTAAGGGAAAAGATCATGTATCCAAGAAGTTGATAAAAGCTGATCCTTGTAGCCAGAGAAAAGAATTCCAGTCTCATTCTAGTTCATGCTCTCCCCGACAAGCAGCAGGGGTCTTCTGTGAGTCCACAGCCGTGTATGTGCAGCAGTCCTCTGGTAGGTGTCCCTGCCATTGTCCCAGTAATGGTTGTCTCCAGTGCTAGGCGGTAATTAGCCTTAGATACACATGCTGCCTGTTTTCCTGAGGCACTCCCCTGTAGCCTAATGGTGGAAGAAACCTTGAAGTTCCTTCAAAGATACAGTAACAAGAGAGGCAAAATTTTACTCTTGTAGGGTCTCTGGCTAGGCCTGATGATTGAAGTAACACAAAATAAATAAGAGAAAAGCATACATGGGCATGTCCACAAGAAACTAAGACCTAAAGAAGTAGCAAAACCTAACTGTATTATGGATTGAACAAAGAGTCAGTTGTGGCAAAGTACCTAAAATATATGGGAGGACCAAAGGAAGATAAGGATTATTTTAACAAGGCCTGTACAGATTCCCTCGGCCTTGCCTCCCCATCTCGTGATAAGAATGAGGGACAGGGAGGGTGTCTTTACTTGGAGTTTCACCTCCTGCTTTCAGGAAGTAAGAGAGAGAGTAACCTGGGGCACCTGCTGTTTCTCAAGTCCCTTTAGCTCAAGATAGCCCTTATTCCAAAAAGTGGCACATACGGGGATGGCATCTTCTGTCATCCTTCAGTGTTGCTTTCAATTGACAGTTACGGCATACAGGAAGTGTTCCAGTGGCTTCCACTTAGCCCTTCCTACCGTAACAACTCCAGCTCCATGGTCGTAAGGGCAAGGTAGAGATTTTGCAGAGTATCTGTAACTAGATGAGTCCCCCTGTAGGTTTCTGTATTTTCGTTCAGTAAATGGCCACAGACCTTTTTGGCGAAAGCCAAGATCATCATCTTCACGTGCCGTGAAGGGTTCTTCCACAGGGTTACCTGACCTCCCACTCCTTCACAGAGACTTAAGTCTGTGAACTCACTCAGGGCCAGGAATTGAATGAAAGACTTTAAGTCTTTAAGGGGGAAAAAAATCTCTAAGGATTACAAATTTTCAATTCCTAAAAATCAGTTGAGGTGATTAGACATTAAAGGAGGAGAATGAATGCTTTGTTTCAAGCACTAAAAGGAACATAGCTCATCATAACCCCCAAACTCCGTGATGGGTCCAGGGATTGGAGGGGGAACAGTGGCTTTGGGTTCCAAGACAGGTAAATGCTTAACTCACTCTGAGGTGGTCGGACTCTGAAGGGAAAATACTGGTGATGGTGGTGGTGTGTGTAAGTATCTGGGGGAGCCAAGGGAACAGGAGGGACGTAAAAGGCCGTAAGCCTTGCTTGGGTACATGTGCAGAGTCCATGGCACATGCAAATGTGCTTGGCATGGAAGTTGTGGAATTATGTGTAAAGGAGCCCACTTGAAGACAGTCTTCAAAGTCCTCTTTGTGACTTTGCTGCAGTGTACACCATCTCTGAGAACCTCTCCCAGCAGCGGCACCATGTGGCAGCAGAAAGAACAGCAGCTGCAGGCACGAAGTAAAAATTTCCCTACAACAATATGCAAGGCTTTTTGTTCCTAAAAATTGTTGTTGTTGTTGTTGTTGTTGTTGTTGTTGTTGTTGTTGTTGTTGCATGAGATGGATTCTCTTTCACCCAGGTTGGAGTGCAATGGCACCATCTCAGCTCACTGCAGCCCCCACCTCCCAGGTTCAGGAGATTATCCTGTCTAAGCTTCCCAAGTAGCTGGAATTACAGGCACGTGCCATCAAACCCAGCTAATTTTGTATTTTTAGTAAAGATGGGGTTTCGCCATGTTGGCCAGGCTGGTCTTGAACTCCTGACCTCAGGTGATCCACCCGCCTCGTCCTCCCAAAGTGCTGGGTTTACAGGCGAGCCACCGCTCCCAGCCCATGAAGTATTAATAAAAGATTGGTACACTTCCCTTTTGGCTTGCTTAAAACCCCAGAGTTCTTGGAAATATAACCCTAGTAGGGTTATATTTAACCTAGGATTATATTTAATAATATAAGGTTATATTTATTAAATTTATTAAATATAAGGTTATATTTAATACTAGGATTCCCAACAACATGGTATGTGAGGACCTCAACATAATACTGGCGAAAGGAAATGGCTCAGTACTTGCACCCCAAGGGTCTGGAGAATTAAGTACACACCTATTGCAGTAGAAAGGGCACTAGACTGTGTGTCCAGGATCCTGGATTCTAACTGGGCTCTGCTGCTTGACAACTCTGTAATTACAGCTCACTGCAACCTCTACCTCAACCTTTTCAAAGTACTGGGATTACAGTCATGAACCCCATGCCCGACCCATTTTTAACTCTCTGTAAATGTCCTAGTTTGCTTGTTTCTGATTGTATCATATTTTCTCCTCCCTTTTTCTATTCTTCCAGTTGTCATTGTTATTCTTGTGTGTTATTCTTTACGCTGAGAACGGTTTGGATGTGTGGATATATCGTGAATCTATTTTCTCAATGGGCAGTCTCTCATATTGTAGTGGTGATTTTCTTCATTTTTGCTCATCTTGTTGAAGTGGGTGTTTCCACTTGTTGAGAGTGATTTTTCCCTGGCGCTTCTTTATGGTGTTATAAGGATCATCTTTTGTAAATGACCCATTGATTCTTACGGAGAAGACGCACACTCTGCTTTGAAGGGATGACTTTCAGAGTGTGTCTTTCCATCCTTTCTTATTTGTTACACTCCCATTGGAAGTAATGGCAAAAACCGCAATTACTTTTACAGCAACTGGCCGGGTGCAGTGGCTCACACCTGTAATCTCAGCACTTTGGGAGGCCAAGGCAGGTGGATCACTTGAGGTCAGGAGTTCAAGACCAGCCTGACCAAAATGGTGAAACCCCATCTCTAGTAAAAATACAAAAATAAGCCAGGCATGATGGCATATGCTTGTAATCCCAGCTATTTGGAAGGCTGAGGCAGGAGAAGCACTTGAACCCAGGAGGAGGCAGAGGTGGCAGTGAGCTGAGATCACGCCACTGCACTCCAGCCTGGGTGATAGAGTGAGACTCTGTCTCAAAAAAAAATCTTTTCCACAAACCTAATATTCCTCGGGGAATTCTTGCAGCCCACCACAAGCCCACACCCCCCCCCACACACACACACACACACACTTCCCCAGCTACAGTGAATGAATGGGCTGACCCATGTCCTGGATAGTACGGAGCCCTCAACTAGGGACAGCGCTGGCCACTCATCCAGACCCTGGACTCTGCCTGGGGCTTTTCAGCAGGGTCCTGTGGTCTGTGATCTGAAACTGACTCTGACTAGAGTCCAGCTGGCACTCTAGAATGCACTCTGAGCTCCAGACAGAGCTCCAGCATGGGCCTGTCCAAGTAGAGACAGGCTCTGGGCTGGCCTAAGTTCCAAGTGCCTGCCATGACCCAGGACTCCGAGCTGGGCTGTAGGATCAGCCACTCTGGCAGCCAAGGCCTAACCCTAGGCCCCCCAACTTTTTTTTTTTTTTTTGCTTGCTTTCTCCTCAGTAGTGCCCATTTCTCAAATGAAAGGCAAACCAGTGGACACATGGAAGGAGATACCAGACTGTTTACTGCAAAGTGAGAATTGTCAGCTTGAGAAGCAAGGAAGTGGCTGGAGCCCAGAAGGCCCTTGTACAACAGAGCTATCAAGAAACAAGAGAAGGAGAAAGAAACGGGGTGCGGGAAATGAGCTGATGTACAGAAACAGCCTCCTCTTCCAACTCAGGACTTTCCTCTTGAGAAAAATTCTCATGCCATTTCCACCGCTCCCTGGGCAGCACAGGCAACCTGTTCCTCAGGCTGGGGTCTCTGATGAGCACAAAGAAATTCCAAGAACCTAGAGCTTCCTCAACAGTCCGTCTATCTGAGAAACCAGTCCCACACAGTGGGAGCAAGTGGGTGTCTCCTCTGGGCCTGTGCCCTGGCAGGAAGTGCAGGAACTCTCCTGTTCTCAGTCTGGGACAGGAGAGCTGAGGACTCACCTGAGCAGGAATCCCACGAGCTTGAGCTCAGCTTCACCGAGCCTTCAGGATGAGGCGGGTCTTCCCATCTCCAATGAAGCACCTGCAAGAAAGGTGACCCAGAAAGGTCTCAGCCCCGGAGGAGAGACCCGGCCCTTTGTCATATGTCTCTAGGCTCCGCATTCTCCAGAGAGATGACTTCCTGAGACTCCCCAGCCTTAATAGCCAGATCCCCTGGATCTGGGGAGAGGAAGACACTGTTTCTTTCTACTTGGTTTCCTTTTTTTTTTTTTTTTTTTTTAAATTGAAACGAGGTCTCACTCTGTCACCCAGACTGGAGTACAGTGGCAAGATCTCGGCTCACTGCAGCCTCCACCTCCTGGATTCAAGCGAATCTCGTAGCTCAGTCCCCCAAGTAGCTGAGACTACAGATAGGCACCACTACACCCAGCTGATTTTTGTATTTTTAGTAGAGATGGGGTTTTACCATGTTGACCAGTCTGTTCTCCAACTTCTGACCTCAAGTGATCCACCTGCCTCAGCCTCCAAAAGTGCTGGGATTACAGGTATAAGCCACATGCCTGGGTCCTGCTTGGTTTCTAACACTTTTCTTGAAGATGCTCATGGCTGCCACTCTAAAAGCCCAGACAAAATGAATAGTGATGGCGGGGCACAGTGGCTCACACCTATAATGCAACACTTTGGGAGGCAGATCACTGGAGGTCAGGAGTTGGAGACAAGCCTGGCCAACATGGTGAAACCGCATCTCTACTAAAAAATTACAAAAATTGGCTAGGCATGGTGGCTCATGCCTATAATCCTAGCACTTTGGGAGGCCCAGGCAGGTAGATTACATGAGGTCAGGAGTTCGAGACCAGCCTAGTCAACATGGTAAAACCCCGTCTCTACTAAAAATATAAAAATCAGCTGGGTGTGGTGGCAGGCACCTATAGTCTCAGCTGCTTGGGAGGCTGAGGCAGGAGAATCTCTTGAACCCGGGAGGGAGAGGTTGCAATGAACCAAAATCATGCCACTGCACTCCAGCCTAGGTGAGAAAGCAAGACTCCATCTCAAAAAACAAAACCAAAAATACAAAAATTAGCCAGGCAAGATAGCACGCACCTGTAGTCCCAGCTACTCAGGAGGCTGAGGCAGGAGAAGAGTTTGAACCCAGGAGGCAGAGGCTACAGTGAGCTGAGACCGTGCCACTGCACTCCAACCTGGGCGACAGAGTGAGACTTCATCTCAAGAAAATAGTGATGCTTTTCACTGAACTACAGACTGGGTAGCAGACCCCAGGACTGCTGGCGAACGGTGGAGCAAGTAGTCAAGATTGGCCTGGCCCAGTACCTGTCCTTGCCCAGACAGTGCAAGGTTGTCCCAACTTTGTTTACTAAATCCAGACAATGATCCTTGGACTCCTGGAGTTCAGAGTTCAGAAGGAATGGGGCATGAAAAGGGAGCCCACGGAGAAGAGGCCAAGCGGGATGCAGAGGAACTCTAGACTCTTCCACGTGGGTTCCACTTACCCTTCCGGCAATAGCAACCTTCTTACCCACTGCTGCACCCTGGGAAGCACCGTTCATGGGTATTTCTTGTGAATGACGTCTTCTGACATGCATGCTCATGGGGGTACCATTTACATGACTTTCCCATGTAAATGGGATCTCCTGGAGTTGTACAGTAACCCCACAGGGAACACTCCTCCCCTACTCTTGGTCCTATTGGCGGTGTTCGGGTAAGGCTGATCTCATCCCGACTTCGGGCTTAGGCTCATGCTCCAGACATAGCCAATAGGAGTACCTGATCAGCCAGGCTCAGTGGCTCATGAAGGTAATCCCAGCACTCTGGGAGGCTGAGGTGGGCAGATCACTTGAGGTCAGGAGTTCGAGACCAGCCTAGCCAAAATGGTGAAACCCCGTATCTACCAAAATACAAAAATTAGCCAGGCATGGTGACATGTACCTGTAATCCCAGCTACTCAGGAGGCTGAGGCAGGAAAATTGCTTGAACACAAGAGGCAGAGGTTGCAGTGAGCCAAGATTGAGCCACTATACTCTAGCCTGGGTGACAAAGTGAGACTCTGTCTCAAAAAAAAAAAAAAAAAAACAGTGCCTGACCCCCATGGCTCAGTGATTGATTCTGAAATGGGCAAATAACCTACACACAGTGGGCCAGTTCAAACCAGTGAACCTCAGACCCTGGCTTTTTGCTAGAGCTTGTTGTTCTGTTTCTTCTGGAGTTATCAAGTTGCTAAGATCCAAGCCTTGAGTGGCTGGTAAGCATCTTTACCTCCATTGGAGAGTCTAAGCATGAAACCCACACAGGGAAGGACAGAGCCTGTGAGAAAGACTGAGGCAGGGCACGGTGGCTCATACGTATAACCCCAGCACTTTGGGTGGCCTAGGCAGGAAGATCACTTGAGGTTAGGAGTTCAAGACCAGCCTGACCAACATGATGAAACCCCATCTCTACTAAAAACACCAAAAAAAAAAAAAAAAAAGCCAGGCATTGTGGCAGGCACCTGTAATCCCAGCTACTTGGAGGCTGAAGCAAGAGAATTGCTTGAATCCAGGAGGTGGAGGTTGCAGTGAGCTGAGATCACACCACTGCACTCCAGCCTGGGCAACAGAGGGAGACTCTGTCTCAAAAGAAAAAAAAGGAGAAAGACCAAGTCCTAAAGACGTTTGAACACCCCTGAGGCCACTGCTACCTGTGAAGTTTTTGATAATGTGAGCAAATAAATTCCTTTTTATGACATACGCTGTTTTGAAATAGATCTGTCACTTGGAGACAGATCTATGGAGGCATTTTCTTTGCCTCTGAAGAGGCTTCCTCTTTCCTCTCCCAAACCCAAGTAACAACCTAGCCCTCCAGCCCTGGACTCTCAGGTGCCCATCCGATGGGCCAGTGACCCTGTGTCACCCTCCTACCTAATGAGCAGTCCAACAAGCAGGCCACCCAGGAGTGGGCCCAGCCAGTAGATCCAGTGGAAGTCCCAGTGGCCGGTCACCACCGCAGGTCCAAAAGCACGGGCAGGATTCATGCAGCCTCCAGACACAGTGCCCCTGCAAACACCCAGGCACCCCGGTCACCAGGATCCCAGCCAGGCCCCACCTCACCTCACACGCACATCCCCAACCAGGCCTAGTCACACGCCACCCAGAAACTCTCTCTAAACTCCCACATCATGGGTTCCTGGGTAGATCCTAAGGAAGGTGGAGCAGCCGCTAGTGCTAGGAAGCATAAGGTGTGGCTCCCTGCCGGGCGTGCAGTCAGGGACTCCCCACAAACTCGTCTAGAATGCCCAGCAAAAATGCCTGTGTGACGATGGCAGGAAGAGAAGCTGACCTACGTCCGCTCCAAACTCTACAAAGCAAAGTCAAACCGTTTCAACCCGTTTCGAGTCAAGCTGACCTAGATTCAAAACCCGGACCACACACTATAAAATAATGAAATGTGTATCATTGGACTGTTTGTAACCCAAAGAATAAATGCTGGAGAGGATGAATACCCCATTTACTTTGACATGATCATTACACGTTGCATACCTGTATCAAAACATTTCATGTAACCTCAGCCAGGCACGGTGGCTCATGCCTGTAATCCCAGCACTATAGAAGGCCGAAGCAGGCAGATCACTTCAGGTCAGGAGTATGTGACCAGCCTGGCCAACGTGGTGAACCCCTGTCTACTAAAGATACAAAAATTAGCTGGGTGTGATGCCACATGCCTGTAATCCCAGCTGCTGGAGAGGCTAAGGCAGGAGAATTGCTTGTACCCAGGGGTTGGATGTTGCAGTGAGCCATGATCACGCCACTGCACTCCAGCCTGGGTGACAGAGCGAGACACTTGTCTCAAAAAATTAAAATAATGAAGAGTATAAGTGGATTGTTTGTGACACAAAGAATAAATACTTGAGAAGATGAATACCCTATTACCCTGATGTGATAATTATGCATTGCAAGCCTGTATCAAAATATCTTATGTAACCCAGAAACATATACACCTGTTTACATTTAAAAACATATAAAGAGAGAAAACACCAGCCCAGATAGTTCTAGTTATGGGAACCTTCATTGAGCCTCTCTGTGTTCAACTGAGGTGAAAGTGACTATCCCATAGATTGTTGTCAGGAGTGAATGAGAAAAAGCAAATGGAGCCCACGCCTTGAATATAATTAATATGCAAAAAGCATTAACTGATCTAGCTGGTCCAGAAGAGGCCCTTGTTGCACCGCAGGCTTAAGGCCCAGAATCTCCTACAGGGAGACTCTTCCCTAGGTCTCTCTCTCTCTCCTTCTGGGGCCCTGTCTCTACCCAATTCCCTCAGGCTGGGGTCCTGTAGACCTCAGCCCCACCCTGTGTCCAGCCTCGAAGTCAAAAGGCTTGTAAATGAATCTAAGGCCACTAGGGGGCAGCAAAGCATGGCCACCGCTTTACACACACATTCCCCAGCCTGCCCCGGCTCTATCTCCCAAAGTTGAGGAAGTGCTGACCCAGGGGAAAGGTTAGACTTGGTCCTGTGTCCAAAACAAAGGAAACAGACATGAGGGAGAGACTCTCTGGCCCAAGCACTGTGGCTCATCCCTGTAATACCAGGACTTTGAGAGGCCAAGATGGGGTCAGGGGGTGGGGGGAGAAGCTTAAGGCCAGGAGTTCAAGACCAGCCTGGGCAACATAGCAGGACCCCCATCTCTACAAGAAGAATAAAAAGGAAAGGGCTTATTCATCTTCTTGTCCCAAATTTGTCACTTAGTTTGCCACTGCCCGTTGGCCTTAAATAAGTCACTTCTGTCCTCTCTGAGCCTCAGTTTCCTCACCTATATAACAGGAGACATCGCTGGGTACAGTGGCTCATGCCTGTAATCCCAGCACTTTGGGAGGCCGAGGTGGGCGGATCACGAGGTCAGGAGTTTGAGACCAGCCTGGCCAAGATGGTGAAACCCCGTCTCTACTAAAAATACAAAAATTAGCCAAGCGTGGTGGCACACACCTATAATCCCAGCCACTCAGGGAGGCTAAGGCAGGAGATGTTTGAACCCAGGAGGTGGAGGTTGTAGTGAGCCAAGATCACTCCACTGCACTCCAAGCCTGGGTGACAGAGTGAGACTTTGTCTCAAAAAAAAAAAAAAAAAAAAAAAAAAAAAGAAAGAAAGAAAAGAAAAATGAAATAAAACGGGAGCCATCACCCCAATCTTGTCTAGTTAATCCCTTCCAAAGCCTCCTGAGAGACTCAAAATATATTAGACAACAGCTACAGATGCTGTTTTTAAGCCTGAGGGCCTGAGGCTGAAACCTGGCTACCCGCCAACCAAATGAACCCCGTACACAGAAATGTTACGTTTTCACTACCAAAATTGGAAAACATCACATGCAGATTTAAATTTCTGACTTCCCTTGAATGAAATCAGAAGAAGCATAACCCCAGACCCATGTTCCCACACAGCAATCATTGAAAATAGCTGAATCGGCTGGAGCGCCTCTGACACTGCAGTCCCCACCACTCCCTATTGTCTGCCTGATGCCAGCCCACCTCCCCATTTGCAGCACCTCCCTGGCCCCTAATAGCAACTGAATCTGTGGCCCTCAGGCCTGAAGTCCTGCAGAGCTGAACAGCGCAGACCTGGGCATGGTCACCCCACTGCCAAGGGACACTCACCCAGCCAGGATATCCACGGTGACAGCAAAGCCAATGGAGAATGGGGCCAGAGGGCCCTTTGTCTTCTCATTGATGGCACCCATACATACAGCCAGGGCCAGCAGCGTCGTCAGGGATGATCTCTGCCACCAATGCCCCTGCCATCTGCCCCTGCTCCTGTACCGTCACAAAGGCCGCCCCAGGATGCATTCCAGAACCTCTCCTCGGGACTCACTGCCTGCACAGAGAAGCTGCTCAGCCTCACAGTGGAGCAGAAACAGCTGGAAACTGAGGGGAGAGGGCCTAAAAACACACACCCTCCACCTTAAGGGCCAGTGAAGGGTCATGTCCAATTTCAGTCTGATACACCTGGATTCATATCCCAGCTCTGCCAGATTTACTGTGTGACCCTGTGTGAGCTACTGAACCTCCCTGGGCCTCACTGTGCTCAGCTGAAAAGTGAGAATGGGGCTAGGTGTAGTGGCTCATGCCAGCAACCCCAGCACTGTTGGGGGGGCCGAGGTGGGTGGATCACTTGAGCTCAGGAGTTCAAGACTAGCCTTACCAACATGGTGAAACCCTGTCTCCACTAAAAACACAAAAATCAGCAGGGTATGGTGGCAGGCACCTGTAATCCCAGCTGCTCAGGAGGCTGAGGCACTAGAATCCTTGAACTCTGGAAGCCAAGGTTGCAATGAGGTGAGATTGCATCAACTGCACTCCAGCCTGAGCAACAGAGCGAGACTGCATCAAAGAAAGAAAGGAAAGGAAGAAAAGAAAAGAAAAAAAGAAAAGAGGGAGGAAGGGGGAAGGAAGGAAGAAAGGAAGGAAGGAGGGAAGGAAAGAAGAGGGAGGGAGGGAGGGAGGGAAGGAGGGAGGGAAGGAAAGAAGGAAAATGGGATAACGTAGTCATGGCTGCCAAGTTACAGGTCTAAATGTTACATAACTTAGATGACCCTCTTTGAGAAAAAGAACATAAAACTGTCTTACTTTTTTTTTTGAGACAGGGTCTTGCTCTGTCTCCCATGCTGGAGGGGCGCTGGCATGATCATAGCTCACTGCAGTCTCCACACTCCTGGGCTCAAGTGATCCTCCGACCTCAGCCTCTCATGTAGCTGAGACCACAGGCACATGCCACCATGCCCACCGAATTTCTTTTTAATTTTTTGTAGAGATGGAGGGTCTCACTGTGTTGCCCAGGCTGGTCTCAACTCCTAGGCTCAAGTGATCCTCCCGCCTTCGCCTCCCAAAATGCTGGAATTACAAGCATCAGCTACCACACACAACTAAAAATACCTTACTTTGCAAACACATATGGTCAGGTGAACTCATCGCTAGATCCCCTTAGGACATTGGAAGGGGCATGTGCCAGAGTCCTCAAGCTGAGCTCAATTATTTCTGCAGGCAATCGGCCTCAGGACTGTCGCAGTCCCCAAGGGAAAGCTAGGGCAGTGCACAAGTTTCTGGACTCTAGACCCAATGGGGCCGTGCTGCTTCCAAGCACGTCTGAACTTGAACAAGTTTACCCGCTTCTCTGTGACTCTTTTTTCTCATCTGTAAAATAGGGATGATACTGACAGCTCCTAGCTCACAGACAAGGCTGCTGGCGTGCCTGGCACAAGGTCAGTGCTCTCGATGAACTTACTGTGGTTTCTCGTAAAGTTGCTGGGAGATGAAATAAGAGAACATGTGTAAAGCGCTTGGCAGGAAGATGCATTTAGGGAACCCTGCTGCCCCAAAACTGTCAGAACCACGTTTGGCAGGTTTTAAGAGGCAGGGCTTAAGCCAGAGTCTGGCCACCTGCTTTTCATAAAGAAGCAGAGCAGGAAGGTCCCAGGCGTGTTCCACAGACAGGGTAACAGGCTGGGCGCTCTCAAAGCGAGGCATGGAGAGACCAGGGCAGGGGATGACAGCAAAGTGAGGCTTGAGAAGAAAGTGCGGTGGGTCAGCACTTATGGTTGAGCTCTCCCATTCACCACTCCCCACACACGTGCCAAGCAAGGCCCACATCTGGAAGAGCTGAAGGTCCCCTGGCTGAACTGAGGCTTAAAGGCAAAAGGGGGGGAGAGAGAGAGAGAGAGAGGAGAGAGAGAGAGAGAGAGAGGAGAAGGAGATGGAGGGAAGGAGGGAGGAAAGGAGAGAGAATGAGAGAAGAAAGAGAAAGAAGGAAAGAAAGAAAAAGGAGGGAAGGAAGGAAGAAGGGAGGGAGGGAAGGAAGGAAGGAAGGGAAGGGAAAGGGCAAAGCAAAGCGAGGGACGGAGGAGAAAGTCTATCCATGGATTTATGCACAGGGCTATGAAAACTCTGTGACTGGCCAAGCACAGTGGCTCATGACTGTTATCCCAGCACTTTGGGAGGCCAAGGCAGGACTCACTTGAGGCCAGGAGTTGGAGATTCAAATCTGGTCTATCACAGTATTGTGGAGCCT